CAAGAACAAAACCCAATTCTCCAATATCTACGAACAGTATAGCTGATTTAACATTTATCAAAATACATACCTAAGCTTGAACAAGTTTGGCTAGTGGCCATTGTTAAAACAAAATGGACACTAGCTTCCTCTTGAGGCCAGAAATCCCAGCAGAAAACCTTTCATAGACTCAGTGCAGCACAGACTGTGGTGGGTGGGGCTTCAAGAAGATATTCCATAAGTTAGTGAAAAAGACACAAAAACTTTTATTTACCTTTAAAGTTAGCCTTGTCTGAATCTTCAATTCACCTTCTTGTTAGTCGCCATTGTTTATAGGCGTGGTAGAATAGGCGTGGGTTATAGAGGGCAAAACTGGTCTAACCTGTTAGGGTAACGTGACATACCAGACACGTGCTGTCTTCGTGCCAGAACTGTTGTTGTGATTTGTCAAGATGCCTACTGAAGTTCCTCTTCACTTTAGACCAACATACCCCAAGATAACACCTGGTAAGGAGGACTAAGAGCATTTCAAATGATGCAGCTGAGTTTATTAGTACTGCCACACCCATTGCACTGCTGTATTATGTATTTAGTCATTGTTTTTCTTTATATTGTGTGGGTGGAGAGTGAAGATGATATTATCAATCATCATCACAATTAAGTATTAGATTATTTATTAGATGCTTAATATGTAGATATGCACATTGTGTGAGCAGGAAATGAAAGACAATCAAATGGGAGTGAACTAATTATTGTTCTTGTTTCTGTTGGTAGGTTTGGGTGAGACCCTAGCTAATGAGATGCGTAAGAGGATAATGGTTCTTGATGGAGCAATGGGTACCATGATACAAGGACACAACCTTACTGAAGAACAGTTCAGGGGTGAGGGAAGGAGGATGTTAAGAATGTCTATAATTTATGATTTTTATTTTAATTAATAACAAACGTAAACTCTTAATGATATTATTATTTGTTGTCTTTTTTGGTTTATTTTAGGTGAAGAGTTTAAGGATCATCCCAAGCCATTAAGAGGAGACAATGACCTCCTCTGCCTAACACAACCTGACATCATTTATAATATACATAAAGTGAGGGAGAGAGGGGGAGGGAGTAATTCAGGCAAAGGACAAGGAGAGAGAGAGGGAGAAGGAAGTATATTCATATTCATGTAACTTGGCCTTTAACCCTCTTTCTCTCTCCAGCAATATTTTGAAGCAGGTGCTGATTTCTCTGAGACTAACACATTCAATGGAACATCAATTTCACAATCAGACTATGGACTGGAGCATTTGGTAAGTAAGGCATGCTTTGTTTAATTTATTTATTATTTATTATTGTTTAGGTCTATCGTATCAATAAATCAGCTGCTGAAATTGCAAGGCGAGCAGCTGCTGATGTCAGCAAAGCAACAGGTTTGTATTGGTTACCATGGTTACTGTGGCCATACCCACTTCAGGTCTACCCAAGTACGTTGTCGGAGCACTGGGTCCAACCAACAGAACATTATCAGTATCACCCTCAGTGGAGAGACCTGACTTCAGGAATATTAGTAAGTGAATGGATGAATGAATGAATACTGTATTGTATACTTAATGTATTATGTGCATGTACATGTATATGGGTTATTTTTATTGGCTGTAAAGTTTGAAAGATTTGGAAGAATGAAATGAATAGATTAATTACTAATGTAAATAAATAAATCTTATAGATGGCTACTGATTGCAAAAATGAAAGCTTAATTGAATCTTGACTATGTATGATGTTACTGTATGTGTACATGTATATGTATATGTAATGTATTTAGTATTAATTCTTGTTAATAATATGATTCTCTTCTTCTCTTCCTCTCTCAACAGCATTTGATGAACTGGTTGATTCATATTCAGAGCAGGCCCAAGGTCTTCTTGATGGTGGGGTTGATGTCCTAATGGTGGAGACCATCTTTGATACAGCTAACTCCAAGGCAGCTCTATACGCCATTGAGACTCTCTTTGAATCAAAATACAAACCAATACCAGTCTTTGTGAGTTCCTCTGTTGCCGTGGTTACCTGTTGTCATGGTTACCTATAGGTGTCAGGTACTATAGTTGATAAAAGTGGAAGAACATTGTCTGGTCAGACGTCTGAGGCCTTCCTGTTCAGTGTGACACACTCCAAACCACTCTGGTAGAGAAACTGAATTTATTATTTTAATTTCACATAAATCTTTCTCTCTCTCTCCCCCAGTATTGGTCTTAACTGTGCTTTAGGTGCTACTGAGATGCGTCCGTTCATTCAAACTGTCAGTAGATCAACTGAAGCTTTTGTACTCTGTTATCCTAATGCTGGTATGTTACCCTAATGCTGGTATGTTACCCTAACGCTGGTATGTTACCCTAATGCTGGTATGTTACCCTAACGCTGGTATGTTACCCTAATGCTGGTATGTTACCCTAATGCTGGTATGTTATCCTAATGCTGGTATGTTACCCTAATGCTGATATGTTACCCTAATGCTGGTAATGAAGGATATATGTACGCGTGTATATACTTATGTACATGTACCAGCTGCTACTGTGCTATAGTACAGGGTCACGGGCCAAATTTGCCAAAATTGATAGGAAGAACTTGCCATTTTATTACATTTTCTGATACATGTACTTACATGTATGTTGTGTAGAAAGTTTGAGCTCATTTCAATAAAATTTGGATTTTTAACGAATTTTTAAAGTTTCTTAAAGTACAGGGTCCTGTGTGCTTATGTACTGTACATGCTCTCCTCTGCAGGTTTGCCCAATGCTTTGGGTGGATATGATGAAACTCCTGAAGTTATGGCCAGTCATTTGAAAGTATTATTTATTTATTTATTTTATTTTATTTTATTTATTTATTTATTTATTTATTTGTTCGTTGTAGTCATTTGCAGTTGATGGTCTTGTGAACATTGTCGGTGGTTGCTGTGGGACCACACCTCTTTTTATTAAGTAACCAATTAATTGTTATAAAAAATTAATAATTTCACTCTCTTTTTCTAGAGCTATTGCAGAAGCAGTGAAGGGGTTAAAACCAAGGGAACCGCCCACTAATCTTTATCATGACGCACTCATACTGTCAGGTGAGACTGAGACTGGTACCAGATTATGAAAGTTTGAAAATGAGATATTGTATAACTAATGTTAATTTTCCATTTGTTTCTAGGGTTGGAAGGGGTTAAAATTAATTCCACTACTAATTTCGTTAACATTGGTGAAAGGTGCAATGTTGCTGGGTCAAGGCGTTTTGCTCGTTTGATAATTGCCGGAAAATTTGAGGTACCCCCAACCTCCCAGTCACATGATAGTCACATGATGTACATGTACATGTATAGGAGGCACTCGCCGTTGCTAAGCAACAGGTTGAGATGGGTGCCCAGGTCCTTGACTTGAATATGGACGAGGGTATGCTGGACGGAGTGAAGGCCATGGCTCGATTCTGTAACTACATATCAACTGAACCTGACATTGCTAAAGTGAGTACAGGGACCAGCCTGTCTGGAGGAGTGTGTGTATACATGTAAGTAATGTAATACCTGAGGACTGAGATATCTGCTTGAGGTGAAGCTGAGGGCAGATATCAAGGGATTCAGGTATTACATTATTGATACTCACCTCCAGACACACACACACACTGGTCAGGTCACTATATTATTATTATTTATGTTGTTCATTAACTCTTTGTTCCTATACCTCCAGCTCCCCCTCTGCATTGACTCCAGTAATTTCTCGGTGGTTCTTGCTGGCCTAAAGTGTTCCCAGGGTAAGTGTATCGTGAACTCCATTAGTCTCAAAGAAGGGGAGGAGGACTTCATTGAGAAGGCAAAGATTATCAAGAAGTTTGGAGGAGCAGCTGTCGTGATGGCATTTGACGAAGTCGGACAAGTAAGTACTAACTTCCAAGTTCTGTGTTTTAGAAAAAATATACATGTACATGTACATGTATGTGATTAAAATATAATAGTTCATACTAAATTTTATAAAGATTTTAAATTACCCACTACATAAATGTAATGGCTTCTCTCTAGGCTACTACAACAGAGAACAAAGTCTCCATCTGCACAAGGTCTTACAATATTCTGGTCGATGTTGTTGGGTTCAATCCAAATGACATCATCTTTGATCCAAACATACTCACCATAGCAACGGGAATGGAGGAGCATAACAACTATGGGATATCGTTTATTGAGGCAACGAGATTAATTAAAGTAAGGGGAGGGGCCAGGAGATTAATGACTATCATTATGTGTTGATCTAACTCTTCATTATTTTATTATTTATATTTTATTCATTTCTTTGTTGTTCAGCCAAACATTACCTGGTGCCAGGATCAGTGGTGGTTTGTCTAATTTATCGTTTTCATTTCGTGGGAAGGAGGTCATTAGAGAGGCAATGCACAGTGTCTTTCTCTACCATGCAATACAAGTAACTAATGGAGGAATGAAGGAATGAGAGGATTGTATTATTATCTTATGAAGATGTATCTTTTTATTATATTATGAAACTGCTACTACACATGCAGTTGGTGGTATTTTTTATTTGACATATTTTTCTGATAAGTTTTCCTAGCTACAATGTACATGTACAGTGTAGATCCATTTTATGTATAAATGTAATAAGAATGAATAGTAATTTTAATTAATTAATTATAATTGATTATAATTTCTTGTCCCTAGGCTGGTATGGACATGGGTATTGTTAATGCTGGTAACCTCCCACTGTATGACGACATTAAAAAAGATTTATTGAATCTCTGTGAAGACCTGCTCTGGAATAGAGACCCAAACACGACTGAGAAACTCCTCGAATATGCCCAGGTATTTATAGCGAGTGATGAGGTCATTATTATGTAATGTTCTGTGTCTATTTGTCTATTTTTAGTCGCTGGGTGAAGGTGCTAAGAAGCAGGTGGCAACTGATGAATGGAGGAATACCACTGTTGAAGAAAGACTGGAATATTCACTAGTTAAAGTAATACTTTAATAATTTATTAATAATTTGTGAACTTCTCCCTCCCTCTCTCCCTCCCTCTCTCCTCTCAGGGTATTGATAAGTTTGTGGTATCAGATACAGAAGAGGCTCGTTCTAATTTCGATAAGTACCCACGCCCACTTCATATAATTGAAGGGCCACTGATGTCTGTAAGTACCCGTACATGTACACATTAATACATTGAACTACACGTACATTGTATACATTGTAGAAGGTTTGAGCTGATAACCATTTTAAAAACAGACCAATTTAAAAAAAATACCCAAGGCTATAGCCCATGGTTTTTTCAAAAAGTGGCTCCGAAATCACCCCAAATTTTTATTACATTTTCTGATACATATTGATGTACTTATGCTGTGTAGAAAGTTTGAGCTGATTCCGACTTCAATTTTTTAAGTTACGGCCATTTTAAGAAAACTCCAAAATCCTGAAAGATACCCAAGGCTATAGCCCATGGTTTTTTTCTAAAAAATGGCTCCGAAATCACTCCAAATTTTTATTACATTTTCTGATACATATTGATGTACTTATGCTGTGTAGCAAGTTTGAGTCGATTCCAACTAAAATTTTTCAAGTTACGGCCATTTTAAGAAAACATCAAAATTCTGAAAAATACCCAAGGCTATAGCCCATAGTTTTTTCCAAAAAATGGCTCCGAAATTACCCCAAATTTTTATTACATTTTCTGATACATATTGATGTCCTTATGCTGTGTAGCAAGTTTGAGTCGATTCCGATAAAAAATTTTTGAGTTACGGCCATTTTAAGAAAACGGGCCAATTTTTGAAAAATACCCAAGGCTATAGCCCATGGTTTTTTCCAAAAAATGGCTCCGAAATCACCACAAATTTTTATTACATTTTCTGATACATATTGATGTACTTATGCTGTGTAGAAAGTTTGAGCTGATTCCGATTTCAATTTTTCAAGTTATGGCCATTTTAAGAAAACGCCAAAATCCTAAAAGATACCCAAGGCTATAGCCCATGGTTTTTTTCATAAAATGGCTCTGAAATCACCGCAAATTTTTATTACATTTTCTGATACATATTAATGTCCTTATGCTGTGTAGCAAGTTTGAGTCGATTCCGATAAGAAATTTTTCAGTTATGATCATTTTTAGTTTTTTTTGTATTAATATTATTTTTAGGGTATGAGTATTGTTGGCGATCTCTTTGGATCAGGAAAAATGTTTCTTCCACAAGTAATTAAGCTATTATTATTATTATTATTATTATTATTATTATTATTATTATTACTATTATTATTATTATTATTATTGATGTCATGTGATTGTCAGGTGATCAAATCTGCTCGTGTCATGAAGAAAGCCGTCGGGTACCTAATTCCTTTTATGGAAGAGGAGAAGGAGAAAGCAGCAAAGGAAGAAGGAACTGTCATCTCTGAAGATGAAAACGTAAATTAATTACATTTAAATTAATTATTATAATTATTTAATTTATAGGATAGATTCTCGGGTACTGTTGTTATAGCAACTGTCAAAGGTGATGTACATGATATAGGGAAGAATATTGTAGGTGTGGTCCTCGGCTGCAATAACTTCAGGTATAACGTATGTACATGTACATGTAACACATATTTCACTGGTTACATGTGTACATGATGTATCCACTGGTCATGTAGAGTTATTGATTTGGGAGTAATGACACCTTGTGAGAAGATAATAGAGACAGCAAGAAAAAATAAAGCAGGTGCTTTTATATTATAATCAATTAATAGTATTATTTATTTATTTATTTATTATTAGATATTATTGGTCTTTCTGGTTTAATTACTCCGTCGTTGGATGAGATGATTTACGTTGCCAAGGAGATGGAGAGGGAGGGCCTAAAGATACCGCTACTGATAGGAGGAGCTACTACCACAAAGTAATCAATGACCACACCCACTTCATTAATTAATTAATATTATAGTACAGGGTTATTTTATTAAATTTATGATCTACTTTAAAAATTCATTTTTAGGACTCATACAGCTGTAAAGATTGCGCCATGCTACAGTCAGCCCACTATACATGTTGTTGATGCGTCTAAAAGTGTTGTTGTGGTGAGTCAATGGGAACGAACCATTTCTAGATATTTTAATTTTAAATCATCATCTCATTAGGTCTCTACATTACTTGATGCTACTGCTAAAGATGATTTCACTGATGATATTTCTGAAGAATACACTGACATTAGAGAAGACCATTATGACAGCATTAAAGTATGATACATATTTTATGAAACATGTACATGTACACTGGACATTGATTGTTTTAAAATTGAACGCTATTCTTCTTTGCTGGTGGTGAACAGGATAAACAGTATGTCAGTATTGCTAAGGCTAGATCAGAAGCACTTGCTCTGAATGTCAACAGCTATAAACCTGGTAAGGATATTAATGGGGACTTTAATAATTTTAATACTATATTGTTCTCCTGTCTCTCCTTTTCAGTAAAACCCAGGCAGTTGGGTATCACAGTATTCCAGGATTACGACTTGAACCGTTTGGTATCTTACATTGACTGGAAACCTTTCTTTGACGTCTGGCAGCTAAAGGGAAAGTATCCAAACAGAGGGTACCCTAAAATATTCAATGACAAGGACGTGGGTTAGTGCTTTAATTAGAATAACATGCACTTTAATTAGAACAAATTAGATTGAGCACTTTTTACTGTATGTTTTACTGTATGTTTTACTGTATGTTTTACTGTATGTTTTACTTTATGTTTTACTTTATGTTTTACTGTATGTTTTACTGTATGTTTTACTGTATGTTTTTTATTGTGAAGGTGCCGAAGCTAAGCGTACATTTGATGATGCTCAGGTTTTATTGAATCGTATCATTAAAGAGAAACTGTTAATAGCTAGAGGAGTAGTGGGTATCTTTAAAGCTGTGAGGGATGGAGATGACATTAAGATACTGTCCGAAGAGAATACCACCATAGCAACACTGTATGGACTGAGACAACAGGTTACTATTAATAGCAATGATGTAATTAATAGCAGTGATGTAATCCTGTTACTATTAATAGCAGTGACGTAATCCTGTTATTAATAGCAGTGATGCAATCCTGTTACTATTAATAGCAGTGACGCAATCCTGTTACTATTAATAGCGGTGACGCAATCCTGTTACTATTAATAGCAGTGATGTAATCCTGTTACTATTAATAGCAATTTATTCATGTTACTATTAATAGTAGCAGCTTGTTGCAGGTATCCAGCAGGTTTTACTGTACTCATAATCAGTAATATCCTTCCATTCACTGACCTGCTATAATAAACCATACCAGTTAGTTTGAGACTATTGAAGCTCATAATGATATTCAATAGTTATAGAAATGGGTAACATTTGTATCTTAGCAATAATATTTGATCATCCTATTGAAAATATTTGTCAGAATCACCTCAAACTTTCTATACAGCATAAGGACATCAATATGCATCAGAAAATGTAATAAAAATTTGGGGTAATTTTCGAGCCATTTTTTGGAAAAACCCATGGGCTATAGCCTTGGATATTTTTCAAAATTAATAGCAGCATCATCATGAGTCATGTTACTATTAATAGGTTGAGAAGGCCTCAATGAGTACCACTGGCCCTTATATGTGTCTATCAGATTTCATTTATGACTCATCAGGTCCGACTGATTATATTGGTATGTTTGCAGTCTCCACTGGTTTCGGGTGTAAAGAACTCTGTGACAAGTGAGGAAATACATGTACATGTACATACATGTACATGTATACTTTTTCTAGAAAGAAATATTTATTAAAAAATTTAAATTGCCTCGCATGCAATTTTTGCCACTAAAAAATACTGTACAATTTATAATCCAAGTTATGCTGTACTATACTACTATATTTGGCAGTGGTTGCATGTGCATGTATGTGTCATACAAGTTGTTTTCTAAAATTTAAAGGGCAGGGTCTTTGAACCCATTCAAAAATTGTCTTCAAATGTGAGGTATGTGTTTTGTAGTAGGTAGGATGGAGAGCTAAAGTATCCTTCCACAGATTATGGTTGCTCTCTCCTTCTCTTCCCTCAAGCTTTAAAGGGGGTATTTTTGATTTTGCTATTGTGGGTTGGAAACTTGTGGTTTCTGACTATAAAGAAGAGGGTGGGGCCAGTGATGGTATTCATACTTCCTCTGTCTGATAAAAGGTCACCTTACCTCTACTGGTTTGTTTAAGGATCCCTAGCCTCTTTTTAACACTTACAAGTGTACATTATGTGCTTTATATAGATCACATCCATTTTTGTCTCAGTTGTTGAGATGCAGCAAATTTATGATCGGACTTTCATTAATAATTGTTGCTTCTTTGTCACAAATCTACACGATTTACGATTAGTATTCTGTTTTGCTACATTTAGTGCACAGTGTCACTAAACATTGGTAGTATTTTTTATTAATTCTTGTTATATGATTATCAGGTACAAGGAGCAGTTTGATGATTACAATGTGATCATGTTGGAAGCTGTGGCTGATCGTTTAGCTGAAGCATTCGCTGAGGAGCTTCATGAGAGGGTCCGGAGGGAGGTATGGGGATATGCTGATACTGAAGACCTTGACGCCTCAGACCTGCATAAGATCAGATACCAGGTATGGAGTATGGAATTTAGGAATGGGAATTGATGTGTGTGGCATGTTGCAGGTATCCAGCAGGTTTTACTGTACTCATAATCAGTAATATCCCTCCATTCATTGACCTGCTATAATAAACTAGACCAGTTAGTTTGAGACTATTGAAGCTCATAATGATATTCAATAGTTATAGAAATGGGTGACATTTTAATGTACAACGTATACATGTACATGTATTTCATGTCTTTCCTTCCTCTCTCTCTCTCTCTCTCTCTCTCTCTCTCTCTCTCTCTCTCTCTCTCTCTCTCTCTCTCTCTCT